TATATATAAAGGCATTTACAACCCTTCCCACACTCTTGCAATATTCTAAACAACGTTTCTAAACTGTAAACGCTTTAAAAGAGCACAGAATGTCATGATCTCAGCTTTCTGCCTCGGCTGCTCTCGGCCACTTGCAAGCGCCCTTGGCCACGCCCACTTCTCCACTCTGCAAGGTGAACAGCTGATCAGCTGCAGCAGAAAGTTCATCCTGCAGTGTGGGCTGCACAAAGGTGCAGCAGGTGCTAAATAATTTAAAATAATATATTTTAAATAAAAATTCCATGCATATCGTGCGGCTCAACCGTCAATCAGCCAATTGTTTTTCATGTCCAATCTTATTTTTAAAAACCGTGACAGAGTGAGTCAGTGAAAAATGAACCGAGAAGTAGCGAGGGACTACTGTAATGCATTTCTGATCATAAAACAAACAAGTAACAACAAAAACGGTTAAATTAAAGGTTAAACAAGTAACAGGTTTCAAAGATGCAGTCATCTAAAAATTGTCTAAGATTTTTTTCCTTTGCGACAGTACTGCAGCTGTTTAATGATCGTTATAATATGGGATTGAAATTTTTATTTTTGTGATGTTAAATGGAGACAAAACACTGTCTATTAGTGACAACCTTGGTGTGTAGCTGAGATCAGTGCGATGACAGACACTGATTAAGACAAGTCAGAAAAACTTTGTCTGTACAGGTAGGAAGCAGACAGAAATCTCTTTTCCAAGTTAAGGCCAACACTTGCTGATCCTCCTACAAGGTTTTCTCAGATGTTGTGAATTTACCCATCGGTTGTCTACCAAAACACGCATCTTAAATTCAACTTTGTTTTCATTTGATTGGCCTAAATCAAATTTATTGATGTGTGTTCTGAATCTTCTAGACAAAAAGTTGTAAACTTGACTGTTTTATAAGTTGGAAGCCACCTAACTTCTTTTATCATCACATTGCTCATATGCTAAACTGAAGCTATAAACCCTTCTCCCTGCCCACCCTATTTTCATAAGCAGCTAAGAACAGGTGGCTGGGCGCTGACATGGTTCCATAAAAATCAGAGTGGAGTGCAATCCCTACCCTCGGCACTCACCTTTCCAGCCATCATTTACTTTCTTTATTACCATTAATGGTTATGTATCTGGCTACAAATCTAGGGCACTCTCCTAAAGCTGTCAGGAGAGGCGGCAGCCCCAAGAAACATTACAGTCACCTTGACATACACAAAACCCCAGAGCCTCCGGCCATCGCCGGCTTCATTAAGATTCCATGGCAGAGAGAGAGGAGGAGATATTGGAGGAGAAACTGAGTGAGATGACTGGGAGCAAGAAAACGAGGGGCCAAATGCTAGCAACAGCTCACTGGGGTATTTGTGGCAGTAGTTACTATCCAGCTCCCATGAAAAAATGAGCAGTTTCTAGCAGCTAATGAAATGATGATCTCCGAGTGGCCGCCTGCTGCTTCTTATTAAGTTTCAGTTAATAACCAGGAAACCACATGATAAATGAGAAAAAAAAAAAAGATTCCTTACGTGTCCTGCGCTGCTAGTTCAACCTGTTTTAATGTTTAAAAAATATACAATTAACTGTAAACTAACTAACAACATCCCCCTATATTTAGATTTATATGAAACCATTCATATTCCTTCAAACAAGAACAAACTATGAAGCTAAAAATTGAGATTCTAGCAAATAGAGGTACCATCATTGGGCCATTTGCATGGTTTAACATGTTGTGATCTGTCATCTAATTTGAAATAGAGTCATCTTAATGCACCGACAAGGACAGAGAATGGAAAGCAAGATAGGAGGTAGTGAAGCATGCAGACACACACACACACACACACACACACACACACACACACACACACACACACACACACACACACACACACACACACACACACACACACACACACACACACACACACACACACACACACACACAAACACACATGCTCGTCAATTGTACGCCGAAAAAACAATCTGCATCAGCAAAACTTTTCATTTTGATTAAAAACAAATGATATGGGTGTCCTGTACTGCAGCCTCTGGCATGTCACTCCATTTCTATGCAAATACAGCTTCATGGTTCGCTTTCAATTATTCCACTCTGAGTGGCAGGCAGGCCTGTGGCTGCGATCGGAAAGGGAATCCTTGTAGAACAGAGCAGAGCCAAAGGAGAGAGCCTTAAAATTGCTCAATCAGCAGGAACACAACACAAAGATCACGGTAGACTAAGTTCTTTTTCTTAGATATGTGACATGCATAAATTTCTTCTTCTATTTATACTACCTTTTTCACAAAAAGTAAATAATTGTTAAAAACGTTTTACCGAGGCTTTATTTTAGAGCTTTTCTCATGATAATGCAGATTTATTTATGTGGGAATTTAAGTGAAAGCTCATATAAATGTCATTCTGTTATCACCACCTTTGTGCTGCACTGAAATACAAATGTGTGTCTGAGCTCATTTTACCTTGTTGAGGGCCCCGGCTCCTGTAAGGATAATATGAGAATTGTCCACTTGAATGGTTCTCTGTCCAAGCCTCACAAGATAGGCTCCGATACCTATGGCTCGACATGTGACCTATGAGAGAAATCAAATATCTTAAAGCTTCAGATACAAGGAAAGTATCCACTTGGCAGCTTTTCAGCTTTTTTCCATGTCACACAAGTGCTTAGCTTAAGGGCAAAGAGCAGACTACATGGATAAATGTGCCTTTCGAACACAAATGATCCTTACCAGGTTCATGGTGATTATCTCCTCATAAGCCAGAGAAGATTCTCCCGCGATCATTCCAGACCCTCTCAGATTCTCCACACCCAGCCCTTCCTCTTTTCCAATAATGTCAGTAATCTTGTACCTGCACAACAGGATATATATTCCACCAAAAACCAGATGTGACCCAGACACGCTTTGCATGTTTGAAGCTCACTCGATTACAACCGAATCATGCATGCCTAACAGATACAACAGCAGGTTACAATACTATTTCTGTACATAACAAGTACGAGACAAAAAAAAAAAAAAAAAAGAAATACCTCGATTCTCCCTCATCCTCTACATGTTCGCAATGTACAGAATTTAGAGCGGAGACCTTTTTGTAATCTTGTGGGGTGAGGTAGAGATACTTGAAACCCTGCAGAGAACACAGCAATTGCAACTTAAACACACAAAGAGGTGTTGCTGATGCACGTAATGAACCAAGGCAAGAAAATAAAGCCACTTATGAAAGTATAAACCTACTTTATATGAAAATGTTTACATATAAAAATACAAAAACACAATTAAAAAAATAAACCTTTTTTTTGTCAGTTCTACGTAACAACGTTCCACACAGCTGGAAACTAAACGTCAAGAAGACTTGTGAGTTTGAGGCTGCTGTCCAACCTTGTAAGGATCAGCTGGATCCTGCCAGGCCACGTGGAACATGTGTCTGATTTCCTCCGCCAGGCCGATGCGGGCACCGCTGTTGGCTGCGATGTAAAGGCGAGGGATGCCGCACTCTCTTGCCATCTCTGAAGCTCGCAGGAACAACACGTCCTCCTGGGGTCCGAATGACCCGATCTTATGAGTGATATCATTACATATCACTATGATCTCACGTCCTGTTGGATACTCTGGAGTTCGCAGGGTCATCCGCCATGCCACCATACCAATCTGGACAGAAAAAAAAAAGGATAACACACAACTGAGTATGAGAAAATAATCTTTAAAAACAGTGCAAATACTTCATTTGGTTTTATTTCATAAATGAGTTTAGAAACAAAACAAGTTGGGGGGAAGTTTGTGCTCTAAGGTAACCTTAGAGTTGCATCTTGACGACAAATCAAAGATTTAAACATGAACTATTTTTGAAATACATGGACTACAACAATGAATTGTCTATAAGAAAAAACAAATTAAAGAATCACAGAGACATCTACAGGGCAAACTGTGAATTACAGATTTTGAAACATACATTGCAACAATAATTGAGTGTAACTTTTGTTTTAAAACCCTAAAACACTGACCTCGTTTCCCCCTGGCAGTCGGTTCATCTGCACCAGCTGACCCTGTGCATCCAAAACCAGCTCAGTGAAGGTGAGCAGCTCAGAAGGAAGAGGACATTTAGGTAGATGAGCATAAGCCTGACTAGAATGCCACAGCTTTTTCAAAGCCTGGTGGAGAGAATAAGGAAAAAAAATAAATAAAAACAATGTGTATTTTTTTTTTTTTTTTTCTAACCAAAAATAAAGCTAAACATTCAAAAAGCATATTTTTAACAGTACCTGTCTAAACATTTCTGGAAAATCGTAGACATAAGTGGTGCCCAGAGACTGTGCCTGGAAACGTTTGGACTGTAACAGGTCCTTGGTGACATAAGGAGTATTGATGAGCATTCCATGTAACGGACCCTGTTTGTCTCCATAGGCCTGGAACATTATCTGGAAAAAAAAAGGGGGATTTGTTAAGTGTATATGCAAACATTAACCTGATTTACAACCTCAGGATTTGGATGACAAAATAAAAAAGACAATGATGTATATGATTATGAGATTTTTCAATGCTAGTGGCAAATCAAATTAAAAATGCAACTGTGTAAGAAATACAAAAACCTTATGTTTCTAGCCATCACTCTGAAACATTCAACACTAAAACATGATTGATTGAAACAAGCTAACACACACGCAAACACACAAATCAAAAGAATACCACCTACTACATCATCTTATAGCTTCCACTTATTTTAATCTCTGAAGTTTGCTCAGAATTTTCATTAAACTTGTTCTAAAAGATCTACAGTCGTCAAATACAACACACGAGGCAGCTTTCAGTTTCCCTTATAAAAAACACAGAAAACAAATGACGATCAAAAGATAAATGCAAAACAAGCATGAAGAAGAAATGTTTTCTTGCTTTATGCAGATTCAACCTATTCAAAGTTAATTTACTAATGAATTAATCTACATGAGGAAAGATGGGGGGATGAAGCAAACCAAACCTGATCTGCTGCCAAAAAAAAAAAATAAAACAAACATCCAACAGGCTAAGGGCACAATACCATACTGGATCCTTCTAAAAAAAAGTTAAATCTGGTCCTCTGGACATTAAAAAAAAAAAAAAAAAAGCGAAACAACAAAAAAAGCATGAGCATGCATCAGGACATACTGGATCCCATTAACAATGAATAAAACCATAAGGTTTTGATTTAATAATCCAAAAAAAGTAAAAAAACTAAACAACTGGACTTCTATTCTGAAGCAGAAGATGTTTCACTTCCCATCAATCCTAAAATGTCTGGTGGGGAGTTCCTAACTTTATAGAATTGCATGAGAGGTCCGGTTGTGCTGCAGTTTAGACTGGATCTACTCGCTCCGCACAGTGGAGGCTGTTGGCCCAGATTGATCATGACCTGGATGACTGACAACCTTCAGCAGAGTTTTGATTTAATGTATAAAAATTATAAATATTTTAGTTGAATAATCTATTTTTTGTAACCAGAAACTGAGGTTTCCAGGAGGGAGTTGCAACCCTTTGCCTGAATCTAGACAAAAAAAGTAGATGGGATGAAAAATGCATGAGTGCCCCCACCTGTCGGTCTTTGGGCCCCACCTGTCCCGTTCGGGAGTCGGTGACTTCCTTGTACAGGCTGATATCTAGATAGTAGCCTGATTCATTAGTGAGGAAGAGGCGGATGGGAATTTGCTTTCCTGTTGGAGTCAGGCGGATGTTGATTTTCAGTTCAGCCTGCAGGACTCGGAGCTTCCACAGACGGCTGCCATAACGCATCACCATGGAGCGCACAGACTCCTCAATCTGAAGATTATCAAGAAAGATAAGAAGGGGTTGATAATAAAGTTGAAATCAAAGCGCCTTGTGTGTATGACTGTTTTGCAAACCTTTGATGGGTCCATGATGACAGTAGGGACAAAGTTGAGGAAAATGTGGTTGCAGTCAGTTCGTACAGTTGTGTTGTTGAAAGCCACCTCCAGTTCATCCATGGCTTCCAGCAGCAGACGCTCTGCTTCATTGTGAAGGTATTCAAATGAGGCTTCCTGTTGATAATCAGACAAATGTGCAGCAAATGTGTGGAACCTTTAAAATGTAGACAGGTTCAAATATATCTTCAAGTATTAATAAAAACTTCATTACTCATCAGCTCATTTTTCTTTTTCCGTTTTCTCACCTTTGTGACCAGATCCGAGTGGCGAATAATGGCTCGGACAAAGAAACGGTAGTCTGTAACTTCTGTGCCCACCTCCACTCGGGCTGCGCCCAGGTAAAGGTGCATCTTGTGATTGGCACAGGGGATGGCCGTTAGGGCAAAATTGCGCATGCGGTTGAGCTCCAACTGGAACGCTAACGCCGGCTCCAAGTGCCGATAGATCCTGTCCTCCTCAAACTGTTGCAAAACAGGCAGGACAAAACCACTGAGAATTAAACAATCCCACAAGTCCTTAATAAATAAAACTCCCTCTCAAGGTAAAAGGTCAAACGCTTTCAAAATGGCAATGTTAGCGAAAGACTGTATGGCTCCAGAGTGAGCTTATAGAAAGATGCCTGTGAGTCACACACTGTACTAAGTAAATGAAATCCTGAACAATCTTAATCTAAGAAAGCTGCTAATGGGTGTCATTTCTCTTTAATGGGGAACATAATTAAAGACTTCATTACAATAATGAGTTTTAGTGGTGCCATTACAAAGAAACTATCATGGGTAGTGGTCAAGATGAGCCATCACCGACTGGTGTGGAATACATTTTAGCAAAGAAAGATGTTGGTGTCACTTCTGTTTGGTTTTCAAACCCATCGGGGTAATGTTACTGCCATAACAATAACATGCATATTAATAAAATGTAAACAGTTGTATTTTCGCAGTAAATGATGGTTTGAATATTTTGGAGATGTGAGGGAAGACGTTCCGAGGAGAAAAAACAATCCAAAACATTAGATGTCAACGCCTACCTTGTCTCTGGCACGGAATGTGAAGAATTTGGGAAATTCCCTCTGTGTAGATAAAAATTTGATAAATATAGATAAATAAACTAACAGTTTTGCATAAATCACTGAATATAAAACATTTTCACATGAATAAAAATGACTAATCAAATTAAAGTCTTTCTGAAGAAATTTTGAAAGCCATCAAAACAGCAAGTGCTTGAAGTACCAACAAACAACTTTCTTCTGGAAAACATCAAATCTGAAACTTTTGTAATAATCTAAGCTGACAAAATATGGATGTTTTGATGTACAAACTGTATAAGACATGCAAAAATAACAGATCAAAATAAAACACCTGACAGTAAACTTAATGAGACAGGCAGAAACACAGGAGAGAGTTACCGGTAAGTCTCAAACAAACAGACGTGCAAAAACTAAAAGCCATATTGAGAAAAAATGAACTGCATCCAGTTCTCACTGATCATGTTTACGTTTTGAGTGTTTAAAAAGGAGACAAAAAAAAGTCAAAGCTCAAATGCGATAACGGTCTATAGAAGCCTGGGAACACACTTTGCATTCTGGGTGGATTTGAGGAAGAACCATTAGCTGTTATTTAGCAGTGGTAAAAAAAAATGCTTATGTTTTGATGGAGAAATTGTATAAGCATTGTAAAATTTGTGGAAATAAAAAAGAAAAAGTTTAGACGGTTCAAGTTACAATATGTGACATCATCACACATTAAGTTGATCCAACCATGGTAAAATCCCCCCCCAAAATTACGAAACCAAAACTGCAGTTGTGTAAAAACCCTTTAAGATAATATTATGCTAGTAGAGCATGTTAAATGCCTTCTTGGGGAGTGGTGGCACAGAGGTCAGAGAAGATGGGCCTGTGATCGGAAAGTTGCAGGTACAACTCCCGGTACCGTCAACATCAAAATGTGGGTGGAAAAGGTGAAACACCCACACCTGCCTCCACCCTCATTTGCCCCACTCTGGGCCCCTGAACAAGGCCCTTAACCCCCACCATCTGCTCCCAAAAACAGGTCTCTCTTGAAAATGAGTTCCTGTGACCCAACGAGACTACCTGTATAAATAAAGGGTAAATGAAAAAAAAAATAAAAAAATAAAAGAAAAATAAAGTCCAAACCCTGAGCTCCAAAGCTCCAAATGGGGCTGTTTCTCTCACTTGTTTTGCCAGAATTCTACTGTTGTCTAAGGGGATATATTTCACTATTCTTTTTTTTAATTTTGTAACCAGCAGTCATACAATTCCTAAATGAGTCACACATTTTAATATGTTTTTATTCCCTAACACTACAGGAAAAGATGTGAATAAAAAAAGTGCCAGAAACAGAAGACTGGGTATTTTAATGTGTATGCACTGGAACACTTAATGGATAGTTTTATACTTTACAGCAGGCAAAATCACCCAGTCTGGTTTTTGCTTTCATTGCTCCCTGACAAGTAAAAATGGAGTTTAATGCACTGCTCTAAATGCAAAACACCATGTGCTCATTTTTTTCCTGTAATTTATCTGTCAAAGAATCACAGAGTATTCACAAAAGGCAGCAAGTTATCATCACTGTGTTACAGGCTACATATACAAGCACCACTCACTAGGCTAATGAATAAAATATCTCCATTCCTCAGAGACACACGATCCTCTGAATAATGCCTGGCAGCGCTGCTTGACGTTATCGGATCAAGTGTCCCACTTGCCCAAACAATGCTAGAGCGATTGGAGATGCTCTTATCATCTCGCAGCCTACATGATGATGAGAGCTGCGACAGTACACACCCTGCAAACCTCCGCAGCTATGATTTGACACTGTGATTAATATCATTTTATTGAACATTACAGAGCTATAGAAAAGACTTTTTTTGCGTGAGCAGTGAGCATGCATAATGGTGCAAACTAGAAAAAGACACTTGGTGTAACAGGGAGGTAGTTAGCATGATTAGCTCTCATTATGGTGTGGAGAAAAGAAAAATCAAAGGGTATTGTTAAAATGACAGCAGAGATGAAAGGCGCGGGCTTTTCTCCAAACTGGATCCCTGTCGTTTTCGGTGTTTGCTAAATGTTAGTGGCTGTTCTCTAAATAATTGGTTGAACTTGGAAAGATAAATGCTTCATCGAAAAATGGACTAAGTTTAGCTGTTTCCTAAATATAATGCAAGATGAAACGTGTGGTCACATGATTGTGGAAAATAAAAAGAAAACAAGCTCACACTAATGAAGCTTTAATAATGTGTAATGTGTTGAAAGCTCAAAATACACTTTCGCAAACCTCAAATATTTAATGTTTCAGACTTTTTTTTTTTGCTTATTCAAGTTTCCACAGTTTGGACGTTAACATAATTTTTCTAGAAAAATAAAAAAAGATATATATGATATGAGATATGTACAGAAGAGGATAAGCATCACAATGCAATTTTTTCCCTTAATTTTGAGCTCCTAGATAGAGAACTTTACTAATTGGCTTTTCATGTATGTGAATGTTTCTGTAAAATGCCCTGAGACAACTTTGTTGTAATTTGTCACTATATAAATAAACTGAATTGAGAAAAAGGTCAGCATTAGATAGATGCATTCTGACTTTAATCTCAAAATTCTGACTTTTTTTTTTACAGAATTAAGAGAAAAATGTTTTTGGTACCATGTCCCTAATTCTCTACAACAGATATGAGCCCACAAAAAGTAGCTGGCATAAAATAAAATAAATTAAAATTTGACTAAAGGAAATATTTTGCTGGTTATTTAAAATGCCCTTGCTCGGTAAGGGGTGCAGTATTCATCCAGAGTTATTTCTCAGTACTTACGTGAAATCTTTGGTCCACCTCACAGTTGATTTGCTTCCTGAAATCCTACCATCAAAATTGAGCAAAAGCGAAGCATGCAGGAAGAGATACAAAGAAAAAACCAGAGCTAAATTTCAAATGCAAATTAGTGCAATTACCACATTGATGTAATTCAGTGACAACATATTAGGAATTAAAGACACATGCAGGACATATCTCATTTGTCACATTCAGGTAAATGCAATTAAGAACTTCTTATTTGGTGTATAAGTTGAAGTTTAGGAGATCAGAGTTTAGTCAACATAAACAATAATAAGAACGCTCACCTTCTGGGCAACAAGGAATGTCAGCCTTCGAATACCATGTTCAAACAGCAACGATTTCTGGGAAAATATCAGCACTGTTTGAATCATCTGAAGTATTTCAAACACGTAAAACGTGTGTAATTTAGTTAGGCCTAGTTGTCACCAGAGTCCTCACCTGTGACTGAGTGAACTCCCGAAACATAGCTGCCAGGCCATCATCATCAATGTCGCTGTCAGTCTTTATGGCCACATTGAGGATGTGGACTGGTTCATCCTGGACGCTCTAGATGACAAAACAAACAGCTTATTGAAGATTTACAGTCTTGTGATGGCCTTGTGACTGGAAGCGGTCACTTCTCACCTTGTTGTCCTCTTCCCCGTACAGGACAGGGGTACTTCCGTCTGGGAACATAGGACTTGTAGGAGGAGAGTCAGAGAAGCAGCTCAACACATCATATATGTTCCTGTAAAGTAGAGACAATACATAAACCACTCTTTATTAGTTTAATTTCACATCAATAAATAATTTGATTAAAAGTTTGGTTTATTTCTCCGATCAAACACTGACCGTGTGAACTCCTGGAAGGTGCGGAAAGAGACCATGGCTCCCATACGCTGACAAGGCGGTGTAAAAGAAGTGTCAAGTAGGACATCACTCACGCTGGACACGTGCACCATGCCGTAGTGATTCAGGTTGGATGAGAATGACATCCTGACATAAAGACAGAAAACAACATTGATCAAAACTTGCAATGCAACTTGACTAAGTCAAGTCTCCGAGTCTCTCCCCATCCACCTTAAAGAACATCAAAAACACTTTTGATTCCTCTGCTTTGTCAAAGTTTGTCAAATTAAAATACAGAAATGTGTACTAAAAGCGCAGCCATGTCTCAAGCATTCCATACGTAAAGAAATAAACAAAGATTGAGGTTTAAATATAAAAACAAGAATCAGAAAAATATTCGCAGTGAGAAGTGAATGCTATCACAGCATAAAGTATGAAAAGGTGAAGGTCCTTGTGTTAGTAAAATAAAAAAGTAAGTACATCACTTTTATGTGCACAAGGAACCTTAACTCCATCAAGGAGGACCTTTAGATGTTTTGCTCCATAAAGATTGATGTTATTTGGGGAGACGAAGATTTCCCAGAAGTTGCACCCACAGAAACCAAAGAAGAGGTTTTGCGCATCAAACCTGTTCACAGACTCCTCATCCAAGGTATTTTTCTTCTCAGTATTATCATCTTGTGTAGCCAGTGCTTTAAAGTCCTGGGCTTCAGGATTCTGTAAGTTACTGAGCAAGGATTTTACTTTGTCCGGAACTGGGGTTGGCATTTTCCTGGCAGGACAGTTAGAAGTTTAAGCTCCGGATCGTCTTACTGATTTACAACAATCGTCTCGTTGTTATTAGCATTTTACGTTAGTGCATATTGAGTTATAATGAAGCTCTACAGTACTGAGCCACTTGTACACAGTTAGGACTAACACTTGATTTTAACACACACACACACAAAACATTTGACAGACACACAAAATGTTTCATGCTATTTCAGTCAAATTCTAAAAAGACTGCACTTTGTGCTCAGACTACACTTAGTTCAACATAATTTATGGAGATTTCAAAGCACCCAAGAGCTCTGGCACCAACAACTTGGTTAAGAATTATTATAATTCAACTGGTATTGATAATAGTATTGTAATTCCACTACGGTAATTGTTATAATTCAACTAAAATAATTAGTAGTCTACACAATAAAAAAAGGATGTACAATACCTGTTGAGAGTGGGGATGTTCCCTCTGCAATCAAACAACATTGATTAATTTGTGGTTAGTGTCAGGTATCAGGAGAAGACAGTCAAGATGGAGCAATGTATGTGTCAGGATCCATATGGGCATGTTTGTATTTTTTATATCTAAAGTGAGCATATTATAGGATAAATTAAACTTAAAAACACACACAGTTTGCTTCCTGACTGCTCCTTGTAAAACATGCATCATGAGATGTTAGGGTCTCTTTGTTCAGAAATAAAGTCTAAACAAAAAATATATTTTAACATTCCCATGCTGTAGAGAAGTCCACACTCATGAGACAAGCATGGAAGTTAATTAAGCCACAGCAAAAGAGAAGCATGCAATAGAATGATGAAAACATTGGATTTCTGGAAATTAATGTTAAAAAAATAATAATTAGACAAAAGCATACAAGCACTGAATAGAAACAACAAACCACCAAAACACACACACAAATCAAACAACTATACAAGTTGGATGCAAACCCCTGACAGGAAAAATGCCACTCAACTGCATCTAAAAGCTTTTTAAATAATAAATATGTAGATGATAAATCTTGTGTCTAGCTTTAGTTTTACTCTGATCATCATCTTTGATTTGAGACGAGACCTTTTTCACTTTTTTCTAAAGATTTCTGAGATACTTTAGAGACTTGAACAGGAATAAATTAATGGTGGATCGAGGTGGATGGATGAATGGATGGATGGACAGATGGATGGATGGAGTAACTTACTTGAATATTAAAGCAAGGATATTGTGCTTTGTTTTACTGCTTACAGAATGCACACTTTTATAAAGTAAAAAACCAAGTCATGCACATAAGGAGAATTACATGAACAACAATAAACACAAAGTTGGAAAGGTTGGTGAAAGACCGTGGCACGACGGATGACATCCAATTAAGACGATTCATCATCAGTGATCTTAATATCCATCATAAGTATTTCCTTTATAGATTGGAACACTTGGACCAGAGTACGACTTGACCCATGCTACAAATAGCTACACATTTAAAAAGATGTAGTTGATGGGAAATATTACTGTGTAATGATAATGCCTGACTCCACATTGCCATGAGGTTCTGAGGGTTGGCAGAAAGCTACAATGTTGCACGTGGAGAGATAGTAAGCATTTGCATATACCTGTTGGGATGAGACGTGGGCAGCATGAACTGAAACTCTACTACACATGTGTTGTCTTTCAGTTGTCGATGCTGCACACTGTTGAGCTCGTAGGCAATGTACGCTCTGCGAACATATACCTGATAACAGACAAAAATGTATATACAGTTCATAAAACACATGTGTTTGCAGCATTAAAGTTCAGGTGGGCATAGTTGTAGGCTGAGATTATGGTTGGCCTCACCTCGAGGGCAGCCATCCTGACCACCTGATTACTGTGGTAGAAGAAGTTTGGCAGAACATCAAAGATGGATGTCTCTGAAAGGATGAGTTTCTAAGCAAAAGCAATGAGTAATTATTTACTGAGCATTATTTGTTAATTTGTGGATCATTAGATGTCTGCTGTTTATGCTCACCTGTAAGTTCTCAATGCAGAACTGGTGCCCATACATATCAATGGCAGAGAGGAAGATGGACTCCACCTGGTTGTGTCGTAGCTCATAGGATGGAAGGTGGGAAGCTATCAGGACCTACACGAGAAACATTAATGAAGTCCTTCAAGCATAAGATGAAACAAAATACCTATTCTCTTATCTTATGACATCTTCTGACAGCATCTACCTCCATGTAGTTTCAACACTACATTTAGTTTCCAATTATGGCGTGAGAAGCATTTAATAATTATGTGTTTTATTGAGATTTTTCTATCATTCTTTCATGTCTCTACATAATTTGCCTTAATGGAAAGTATGCAGTGACACCTGGTGGTGAAATTATAAATATAAAGAAAATGATTCAGCTCGAGTTAAAGCTTTAACCATTTCAAAATTACTCCTAATTTTTATTTTTGATCAAATGTTGCACACCATTTTTACATGCTTTGAAAACTTAGTTTTACTGTACAGCAAACAAGACCAATCTGGCTTCAGGAAACAACATAGCACAATGGCTCCTTCACTAAAGGTTTTTAATGATGTTGCTGAAGCTTTGGATGCGAAGGATTATTGTGCTGCACTTTACTTAGACCTGTCCAAAGCCTTTGATAATGTACATCATGACATCTTATATCATAAGCTCTCAGATCACACTGTTGGCTTGTTCTCAAACTATCTCTCAGGTCGGAGGCAATGTGTTCGGCATAACAGTACTTCATCTAGCTACCTAACGGTCACTAATGGTGTGCCACAAGACTCAGTTTTAGGTCCCACTCTTTTTTACAATTTATATAAATACTGTAGGTCAAAACATTCCTGGCCCATCTTTGCATCTCTTTGCCAACAACACTGTTTATTGCCGAGCTAACAGTGCCAAGGTTTTCCAGCTTCTACAGTCTGTATTTGACATCATTCATTCAGACCTATTTTATTTCAAGCTGGTGTTAAATGCTGACAAAACCAAAGGGATGTCGCTTTACAACAGATAGTCGATGCCAGCAACTCTTCCTCCTATGTCATCCATGCATGGTGTTTCTATTGAATTTGTAGATTCTTTCAAATACTTGGGGATTTTGGTCGATGCACATCTCTCTTTTAAACCACAGATCGAAAACTTGATAAAGAAACTGAAATTAAAACTGGGTTTCTTTTTCAGAAATAGATATTGCTTCACTCTAAATGCCAGAAAACACCTTGGAGCTACTACTTCCCTACTGGCCATTGACTATGGTGACATTATTTACACGAATACCTCTGCCAGCTCCTTGCAGATGTTGGATGCTGTCTACCATGGTACACTGATTCATGACTGGTTGTAACTATCATACCCATCACTGCACCCTGTACTCCTTGGTCAAATGGACATCATTATCGACTCTTAGGTTCTCACACTGGTTCATTTTCATCTATAAAATCCCTCCTTGAGCCTTGAGCCTAGCCTGTATAAATAAAGGCTGAATGAATGAATAGACCAAATCTGACCTGCCGAGCACGCAGAGCCACTTTGGCATTAGTTGTCTTGCTGAGCTGCGTGAGTTCAGTCAAAATAGCCATCAGTTCATCAGTCAGCGTGGGATCACGGCCACAGAGCTGATCCTAGACACATGAAACAACATGATTAATATGGATTAAAAAATCTGATGCACACTTTAAAACTTCCAATTTCCAAAATATAAGTCAGTTTGTGCAAAATGCTAGATGCAGCATTCTTTTTGTAATTTTATCATTACATAAGCTAACGGTTCTACTGAAAATTAGCTATTTACTATCATCAATAGTGCTTAGGCAATGATGATTTATATTTTGCACTAAACACTTTGGGCAACATATTTATACTGAAAAAAAGCTAAGCTTAACAACACAATATACTACAATAAATATGATTATTATTCAATTGATACTATTAATCTTTTGTTAATTATTATTAATCAGTTATTAGGTTTTTGGATAGTTTTGACTCAGTAAAGGCAGCTACTTACAATCAGCATAGTAACCAGTAGGTTCTTCTTTATGACTTTAGCATGGGAGAAAATATAGTTGACGACATTAACCATGTCCACTTTGTTTTCTTCACGAAGTGCAAACACACACTTGTCATAGTGTCCTGTTAACAGAACAACACAAAGGAGCTTAGGCAAAAACACCATAGAACCATTTATATGAAAGTACTTCATCAAATGGAGAGATAAAGTCAGTGCAACACTTAGTATGAAAACAATGCTAGCACAGCAAATGTTTAAAAAAACGACTGTGTTCCTTACCGTTTTGAAACTGGATTTCTACTTTTAGATACTGTCGAAGCAAATCCATCACAACTGCCTTCATGTGGCCTCTGATGCCACTACGATACCTAGTAATGACAAAACAGTGTGCTAAGAAGAATGAGCCAACATGTATGCTTGGTGAGATACAAAGCAGTGTACGCAACTCACTTCTGCACCAGCTGGACGATGCTTTGTGTGTTCATAAAGAAGACTTCTCTCTCAGATTTCTTGTTAAGAGTAGCGGCATGGCTGTCCAGAATGTTTGCAATCTGGAAACAAGGCAAATAATCAATAAAAGCATTTAAGCAAATCATATGCAATTAATCCCAAAGACAAAGACACAAAACTCAACAGGTTTGTATTAAGTAAAAGAAATGTTCAATTTTGGACCAACAAAGAAAAAAGGGCCAAATCTAAATAATGTTTAGGATATGCAGCCCTTATAATAAGCTATGCCTTTAGAGGTTTAAATAAAACAGATATGCTATTGTGTCAGAGGATTTAATACAAAATAAAATAAATAATAGGGACACCATGTGTTTCATGCCGTTATTATATGAAGTGCATATGCAACAAAAACGCGCTGCAACTATTTAAAATGTTTATTAAAAAGTCAAATTTCTTTTTAACATGGTTTCATTATTACAAAACACCTATTTAAGAAAAAAATCATTCATTTTTGATACTTAAAATAGAGATACATTTAAGGCAATAGAATGTCACATGTTTGTAGCTGAATGATACAATAAAAATAATCCTGCAAACTTGGTTAATATGCTGTGAGTGTTGTTGTGGCACCTGCTGGCTGGGGAACTGGCAGAGCACGGACGTTATGTTGCTGGCATACTGAGCCATCTCCTTTTTGATGGATTTCTCCACAGCAGGGGGAATGCGGCCCGACACGCTCGTCATTATGTCTTGCAACTCCAGGAGTGGCAAAGATGGATCCCGCATGGTCTTCATGAGCCTTTCCACCCATTCTTTCAACTGGGACAGACACGCAAAGTACTTGTTGGTCAGGAACTGTGTACAGATGTTTTGAAGTTGCTGTGCACTTGTGTGGGCATCAAGTCTTACCTTAGCACTGAAGAAAGGTTCAGGAAGGCAATAACCATGCATTATGTGAACGAGATGATCCAGTGTGTTGTGGAAGACTCTGTGCAGTTTCTCACCTCTCAGAGCTACAGTCTGGACAGAGGGCAGTGTCCCCGTGTACAGCTCTGCCTGCCAGGACACAAATACTTAATATTCAGATCAAGTATTTCAGCATTGTTGTGTGTATACTCTGAGTTTTAAAAAGGTTACTTGCACAAGTTATTTATTTAAGGTTACTTTTACTGACTGGCTATTTTACACTGCTCATTAGAGGGAAGACAGGATTCATTGTCTATGCAGAATTTCTTCTTTGGTGGGGGTTGATGTTACGATGAAGGGAATTCGAACTGGCAACCTTCCGTTCACAGGCTTGCCTCATCTAATCTCTGTGCCACTACTTCCCCAAAAAACATCTATACATATATGCACAGGTTAAGACACTGAGGCTGTAAGTAGCATCAGATTATCAAGATAAATTTTAACAATAAATAGCAGTTTAATCCCGCTTTTTTTTTTTTTTTCTTCGTTCGGCTGCTCCCTTCTTCAGGGATCGCCACAGTGAACTAATGCGCATGAAGACTTGGCAATTATTTTTATGCTGGATGCCCTTCCTGATGCGACCACAGAGCTACCACGGCCCTCTGTGTGGAGCAGAGAGCTGCCATCTAGGGTGCCCGGGGGAGCAGATGGAGAGGGTTAAGGACCTTGCTCAAGGGCCCAGAGTAGGGCAAATGAGGGTGGAGGCAGGTGTGGGTGCTTCACCGTTCCCACCCACATTTTGCTTTGGGAGTCGAACCGACAACCTTCTCTAACTTCTGTGCCACCACTCCCCCTTAATCCATCTCTAATAGTGGCAATTTTAAAACTTCCCTAATCACAAATCGAACCGTAGTAAAAACAGTAGAGCGGGATCACACTGAATGATAAATAAAAATATATTTATATATTTTTAGTGCTTTGAGAGTAATCAGAATTGTTCAAAATGGGTACCAGTAAGTCGCAAAAGAATAAACATTTTTTTACCAGACCACAAAACCTAACTTGGTGAATCTCTACTTTAATCTAAAACCCCTGCCTTTACTTAAATAACTAATGTTCTGAGCAAAACAGAAACACATTTGTTTGTTTTGCAAAACTGCAGAGACTTGATATTTAACAAATAGTTGGGTAGACTGTTTGAAGTACTGGTACCTGCTGTATTCGGCTTGGGTCGTCTAGTCGCAGTTTGGCGATGACACACCCAGGCTCCAAAGCTGCTCCAGCTCTTTTAACATAGTGGATACAACCAGATTCTGCAGCTGTGAGGGTCATTACCATCTTCATCACCTGAAAATTAACACCATAAACTTAATATCTGCAAACCTTGGCAAACAAAAGTCAAACATATCCGTTTTCTGGAGACGAATACACACAGAGAAGCATTAAACATCCTGTACCTCTATTTCAGCGTAACACTGGCCAGAAAACACGTGTCCGCCATCCTCAACTGTGTACTGAATGAGTTTTCCTGCTGACGGAGATCGCAGCAGCGAGGGGTCATTCTCCTTTTCAAAAACACAAGTCTTGTTTCCAATTGTGATGCGATACCTTTAAGGGGGAAAAAAAAAGTCTTAATAAAAACAAATATTTAAGCTTTTGAAATATATATTTATTTAAGTTAAGAAAAAGATGTGGCCAGAAAAAAAAGATTTGCCAGTTTTAAAGTTTAGTCTAATCTTACCGATCCACCTCTTCCTTCATGTATGTAGTGTAGCTGCTTCCATCATAGGACAATAGAAGGCCTCCATCACTGAGTCGATGCACATCCACCTCGGCTAAAGAATTGTTCATGATGACCACGTACGAGTTGGGAGACTGACGCGTCACCTTCAGGACATACTTTATGCCTTCATATATCAGCTCCACGTCCACAGTGTTGAGTAGAGTGTGTGCTGGTAGCACCTGACCCCTGGACAGAGTACAGTTTGTTCTCATTAGTGATTTAAGCATTTAAGTTTTTACTGTCATTTGAGATATTTATTTACCTTTCCAGAGAATGTAGAAAGTTGGACACGCTATTCCTTAGATTGACATCTGCTACATGCAGAGCACCACTCACAATTCCAAGCATGGTATCAGGACGCTCTGCCTGCATGCAACAAAACATTAACAAAAAACTTATCTGATCAAGACTACATACAAAATGTGACTCCAAGAAGTTAATTTCAAAAGTTAACCCTGTGACAACACGGTTACGTACTGTAACCCCAGATTCTATGAGTATATGCGTAGCCCTTTAAGGCAATTCGCTAGTGGGTTTTATCCCATCACACAAAGCGTAGCACTGACAACTTTAGTCCATGCGCACCTGTCGTGTGGGCCCCACCCGGTCCGTATAAATTACGTTGAGAGTGGGTAATCGGCTCCCAAATAGCTTTTTATTCAGCTATTTAGGAGCCAGTGAGGCCCAGAGCTTAAAGGGCTACGCCTATACTCATAGAATCTGGGGTTACAGTACGTAACCAACGTTCTATTTCATATAGACAGCATTCCGGCAGGCTCCCACACTCTCAGTCTTTAAGTCTCGCTTGAAGACCCACTTCTATTCGCTTGCCTTTAACACGGTGTGATTTGTTTTGGTCCGGTCTGTTCTCTACTCTGTTGGCCATTTTAGTTAGCTTCTGCTGCTATTTGTATATGTATTTCTATTTTATGTTTTCCTGTCTGCTGTGCATGTTTGGTTCTTTTGTACAGCACTTTGGTTGGCCTTGTTGCTGTTTTAAGTGCTATATAAATAAATTGGTATGGTATGGTATGGTATATAAGCTTTGCCCTTTAAGCCCATTCGCTAGTGGGTTAAAAGGCGAAGCAGGATGTAGTCTATGCCTCACTGGGTCCGTTCAGACACCATATGAAGCGCCCGCTTGCACCAAAAAACATTGCATCACTCAGCACCTCCATGTGCGTAATTACACAGCGCGTAATTATGCGTACCATGCACAGATGAGCGCTGCGTAATTTACACGTTCCATGTACATGGGCGCCCCGGAGAGATAAGTTTTCGACGGGGAAAAGGGGAGAGGCTGAAAACATTGAACGGAGCAGATCAACAGCTCTTCAATATGAACAGGTTAATAATAAATGAACTGATTGGTAACAGTAGTCATGAAGTGATTAGTAACATTAGAACAAGACCAACAGTCAAACTTGTGACTGATAATAAATATCTCACACTCTGATTGCATGCAGTCAGATGTGGGTTTAAACGAAATTCCAAGAAAACAATAAGATTAATTCTGTTAAGGCGCTGAGAATGTTGGTTACGTACTGTAACCCCAGATTCTATGAGTATAGGCGTAGCCCTTTAAGGCTGTCGCTTAGTGGGTTTATTCTGTTATGCGAAGCATCACACTGAAAAAATTAGTCCACGCCCACCTGCTGTGTGGGCACCACCCGATCCGTATAAGTTACATTAAGAGCGGGTAATCGGCTCCCAAATAGCTTTATTTTTTCTTCAGCCATTCAGGAGCCAGTGAGGCCCGACGCTTAAAGGGCTACGCCTATACTCATAAAATCTGGGGTTACAGTACGTAACCAACGTTCTATGTCGTATAGGCTTCGCCCTTTAAGGCTGTCGCTTAGTGGGTTAAGGGCGAAGCGGATGTTGTCCTCGCCTCACTAGGTCCATTCGAACACAGTATGAAGCAGAAGCTTGCCCAAAAAACGTCTTGTCACTCAGCTCCCCATGTGCATAATTACGCGTTGCGTAGTTATGTGTGCCATGTACAGACGCATGTTGTGTAACTATGCGTTCTGAAAAAACATGAACGCCCCGGAAAATTTCAACGGGGAGAGAAGATGTTGAAAGGAGGGGGGGGGGGCATGAACCAACTGATTCATGGCTGAACAGTATAGACAGATTAATAATAACAAATGAACTGATTATTAATCAAATGAACTGATTGGTAACAATAGTCATGAACTGATTAGTGACAATAGAAACAAAATAACAGCCACAACTTGTGACTGATAACATCTCACACTGTAATGCATGCAGACAGATGTGAGCTTAAACAGAGTTCCATGAAAAACAACAATATTCATTCTGTTAGAGCACTAAGGACAGAATGTGTCATGGAGCGGGCCATCACATCACGTAGATAAAAGCGAATGAATGAGCAGGGTGTTGACCACGCGGCCGCAGTGCAAATGTCCTGCATTGTCATACCATTATGAAAGGCAGTCGAAGATGCGATACCTCTGGTCGAGTGTGCTTTGAGTCTGACAGGAGGCTCTATTCTGATGCTCTGTAGGCTTCAGAAATGGCCTCACACAGCCAGTGTGACAAGCGCTGGGTGGATAACGGGCGACCTGCAGATGCATCTCTATAATGCACAAACAGATGTTGAGTTTGGCGCATTACAGCTGTGCGCGCTATGCAACACGTCAACGCCCGCACCGGACAGAGACGATGGAAAGATGCTTCTTCTTCTGATCTGTGGGGGGGGGGGGAAAAACCCCTCCAACGATATCGCTCTTGATTTAAAAGAGCTTGTGATGTTTTTAGGCATAAAAGCTGGGTTTGGTCTTAAATCAGCTGAACTACCGTCAGCCTGAATTCTGAGACATGACGGAGCGACAGAGAGGGCAGATAAATCACTCACTCTCTTAGCGGATGTTAAAGCCAGCAGCAGGGCTGTTTTAAGAGACAAGAATTTAAGTGAAAGCTGATCCATAGGCTCAAAAGGAGCTTTGATCAGGGCTCGCAGGACCAGCGTTAAATCCCACTGTGGAACAAGTGGGCGTGAAACAGGCCTGCGTCTCCGTACGCCTTTTAGAAACCGCTTCATCAGCAGGTGATTAAAAGCTGTTCTGTCTCCGAACCCTTCGTGACAGGAAGAGATGGCTGCAGCGTACGTTTTAATCGTGCTGAATGCCAACTTCCTGTCCATCAGCTGTTGTAGAAAAGACAGCACGCCGCCTAATGGGCATGAGGTGGCCTGTACACCTTTCTCTGTACACCAGCGCTGAAAAGCTGTCCGCTTTGATGTGTACAGCACTGTGGTAGATGCAGCACATGAATCCTGGATTGTGCGCACTACATCCTGAGGGAGACCCATCCTCTCTAAGCGGGACCACTCAGCAGCCAGACCCACAGGTGCTGGCCTATTTCTGGGTAACTCCTGATCGCTCCTCCTGCTTGGAGGAGAGCGTCCTCCCTCCACGGCAGTTTCCACGGGTGCCCCGACAGCAGACGTTGCAGGACTGGGAACCATGGTGCGTTCACGTGCTCGGGGGCCACCAGGAGAGCTGTCAATCCCTCCTCCTGAACTCGGTACAGGAACTGTAAAATCAGAGGAGGTGGAGAAAACGCGTACAGAAGCGTTTTGGGCCATGGGCTGTGGGCAAACGCATCCACCCCCAGCGGTGGTTCGTCTCGCGGGCTCAGGGAAAACCATAGTTGACACCGAGTGTTCTCTCGTGTCGCAAACAGGTCCACAGGTGCTTTGCCAAATTTCTGCCACGTCTGAGTCATCAGGTCTGGATGGAGAGTCCAGTCCGCGTGACGTGGGCCGCCCCTGGACATCATATCTGCCCCTTTGTTCAGAACACCGGGTATGTAAACTGCTCTGATGGAGAGCAGATTTTGGTGAGCCCAACACAGAAGCTGTCGCGCAATGTGTAACGTCTGGGCTGAGCGCATACCCCCCTGTCGGTTTATGTACACAGCAGTCACCTTGTTGTCTGTGTGAATCAGCACATGTTGATTCTGTAGCACGGGAGCAAAGTGTTGAATCACATTCAGCACCGTGCAACACTCCAAAACATTTATGTGGGCTGATGTGTGATGGGGCCACAGTGCCCCTACTGCTTGAGATAGGCATGTCCCCCCCCCCCAGCCTGACAGCGACGCGTCGGTGAAGACTGACACGTGTGACGTGGGTCTGCTGATGGGAACTCCCTCCGACAGAAACAGGGTGTTTCCCCAGTGTCAGAGGTCTGCCCTCACGGAGGGAGGAACAGTGATCATCCGTCTCTTTTGTCTTACTGGATCCACGCGGAGACGAGCAAACCATCTCTGGAGGCGTCTCATGTGTAACAAACCCAGCGGAACCACAGTGTGAGCTGATGAGATCATTCCTAACAGCTTCATGACAGAGACAGCTGTTACCACTCTGCCAGGTCTTACGTGGCGGAGCTGATCTTTTAAAGTGTCGATTCTCGTTTGTGATAAACGAGCCTTCATGGTGGTTGAATTTAACTCCACTCCCAGATAAACAATTGTCTGGGCCGGGAAAATCGAGCTTTTCTTCCAATTTATGGCGAAGCCCAGATTTAACAGGTGTGATGTCAACACCTGAACCTGCATCACTGCTTCCGGTCTGGAGCGTGACAGCAGCAGCAGGTCGTCCAGGTAAAACAAAACTCTCATCCCTGCTCTGTGTAATGGATGCAGGGCTGTCTCCACACACTTTGAGAACATACGAGGCGCGAGGGAATACCCGAACGGCAGCCTGTTGTACTGATACTTCATCCCCTGAAAGGAGAAACGCAGGAATTTTCTGTGTTTTGGGATGATCGGTATGTGAAAATAAGCATCTTTTATGTCGATGGAAACAAACCAGTCGTTTCTCTGGATGTTGTCCAACAGCTGTCTGGTTGTCAACATGTGAAACGGTCTGTCCATGATCGCCTTGTTGAAAGCTGACAGATCCAAAATCGGTCTCATCCCTCCGGTCCGTTTGGGAACCAGGAAGTAACGTGAGTAAAACCCTGTGTTTTCCTCTCCGTTGGGAACTCTGGAGATTACGTCTTTTATCAGAAGTTCTTGGACTTCTGCATTTAGGGATGAGATTTGGTCTGGTGATGACATGACCATCTATAAAACTCCTCCGAACGGAGGGGGTCGGGTTGCAAATTGCAGCATGTAACCTTTGCATAACACCCTGTCCATCCATCTGTCCGGCGAGCATGTTTTTAGCCACTCCGCGTAACGTTCGTGGAGTGGACGTACGTTTAAGTGATGCGTCATGTTTTGAACGGATGTCATCCAATCCGCCGCCTCGACCGCCATCATGCGTCGCGGGAATGTTTTCCGCGTGACCCAAGGCGAGGCTTCCTTGAAAGGGCTCTGAACACGCCCGTGCGCTGCGTTCGGACCACGGACCAACATTTATGTACAGGTGGGCCGGTGTGTGCTGAGGCGAAGCGTGTGACAGCTGATGACGCCGTGGGGCCGCGCGTTTGACGTCGCTGTGCGAACGTTGAGAGGCGGAGGGCGTGACTTCATCTACGCCGTGCTGTTGGAGTGAAGGCTGCGAGCCCCGCGGGAGCACACGTTTCCTCTGGAAGGACGCGCGCCGCTCTCACTGGAGGGACGCGCGCTGCTCTCGCTGGAGGCAAGACTCGTCACCGGGTTCGTTCAGCCGTCTCATACTTGTGCTGCCGTGAGCTGCCGAGCGCTGAGATGTGGTGGGTGACGGCTGCCTGCGTTTGCTTCGGTGAGGCGTGTGTTGCTCTTGCTGAGAGCGAGGACCTCCACCGGACCCGGCCTGCGGTCCCACATTTATACCGATGTGAGCCGTGAGCGCCGGGCAGCTGTGTGTGCACCATCATCAACGCAGCGCCGTTTGGATGGAGGGTGTTTGCATCACACAAGTGCGCGTTTGACACCGCTTGGGTGAAGATCGTGCAGCTCGGATTGACAACGAGTTATTTCGCTTACCATCGTGTCGTGTGAGCGTCTCGTCATGTCTTGGAGCGACGGTGAGTTTAAAAAACCTTTATTTAAGGACACCGGCTCGTTATGTGTGGAGGATGTGTGCGCAGCCGCTGTGAGTTCATCCGAGCTTACAGACTGGCTAGAAACAGACACTTTGATCATTGAAAAATTATTTATTTCAACTTCCGTGTCACTTTTACACACACCCTCCGCAGACCGTCATTTTTTAAATCTTCTCCCCTGTGAGCTCTGCGATTTGTTTGCCCCGAGCGCCGTCTGCAGGCGATCTCTGGGGAAATGCTGAACTGCAGGTTGCCGGGATGAAGAGGGTTGGTCTCTGACAGGCGGGGCTGGTGGTGGAGCTGAGTGAGACAATGCCGCAGCGGCTGTGGAACATCGTTGTTTCTGCCTCTGCTCACGACGGTCCCTCCAGCGGGCCGGGGGGCGGGATGAGCCGCGCGGCTTGTTGAGGTGGCGCACAGCCTCTGACACCTCTTCCGACTGCTTCGAATTCGCCAGCATGGTTTTGAAGCTGCTCCCGAAAAGCAAGTCCGCCGTGATGGGGCCCTCCATCAGGTCTTTGTGCAGTTTCTCCGGCAGCGAGGGGGAGTGACGAAGCCAGGTGGATCGTTGAATCATCGTCATCCACGCTGCAATCCTGGACAGGCAAACCGTAGAAGAGGCACACATGTTGAGGATGGCGTCGGCTGCCTTACAGAGGGAGCTCTTGGTCTCCTCAGGCAGATCTGCGGCTTCCAGCCTCTTGGACATGCTATATGCTAGCAGCGCCACGTTGTTGCTAGCTGCGGCTGCCTGAAAAGCACATTGATGGGCTCGATTGGAGAGCGTGGTCACCGTCTGGTCGTGTTTCCCAAGAGGGACGGGACGCTGCTCCAACCTAGACAGCTTCGCTCCGAAAGCTTCCGCGAGGCTTGGCTCAAGGGGAGGTACCGAGGGATAGCCCTGCTCAGTGAACCCTTCCACTCTGGTGAAGGGAGCGAAAGTGGAGACGGGCGCTCTCAACTTACCAGGACCGGCTGCGGCCTCGTTCCAATACGACGTCACTGCTGGAAAACGAGGCCAAATGGGATCAGGACGGCGAGCCGGCGTGGAGCCAAACCTTCCCGCAAGATCATCCGATCTGGGCGGGGGGTGGGGGGGTGGGGGTGGGTAAGGGAACAGAAAGTCCCTTCACATTAGCAGCTTCCCGGATAATGACAGGCAGCTCCGAGAGGAGTGCGCCGACGGCAGGGAGCGATGTGGCCGTTGAGGTGGGAAACCCCGGAGGGGTTGAGCATCCGCTCGGCCTCCCTCGTTCCAACACTGCGCTCCCCAGGAGGGAGCGAGCATTGGGGCTGCTGCTAACGTCACCAGTCCCAGAGGAATCATCCAATTCGCTCCGAGAGCCGGCGTCGAAGAAATCCATGGCGTCGTCCAGTGAACAGTCTCCCGCCACAGACAGGCAGTCCTCGATGGTAGCCTTAAACAAGGCTGATCTCCTCTGCCTTTCCTCCGGTGGAAGATCGTCACAGAGGTTGCAGGAGGAAGCGCGGGCGACGTGGCGGGGACACAGGCATCCCTCGCAGGTGTCGTGCTGGTCAAAGCTGAGCAAGTAACCGGTCTTGCAGGAAGGACACAAGCGGATGGTGTTGGAGCTGGACATCTTGCTGAAGGTCAGTGTTATTAGCTTGCTGAAGAAAAATGGGAGCCGATTACCCGCTCTTAATGTAACTTATACGGATCGGGTGGGGCCCACACAGCAGGTGGGCGTGGACTAATTTTTTTAGTGTGATGCTTCGCATAACGGGATAAACCCACTAAGCGACAGCCTTAAAGGGCGAAGCCTATACGACATAGAACAGAATGCGCCAAGGAACGAGCAAACACATCACACAGATAGAAGCGAATACATGAGCAGGACGATGACCACACGGCCGCAGTGCAAATATCCTGCATTGTCATACCATTATGCAAGGCTGTCGAAGATGCGATTCCTCTGGTTGAGTGCGCCCTGAGGTTGACAGGAGGCTCTAAATCTGATGCTCTGTAGGCTTCAGAAATGGCCTCACCCAGCCAGTGTGACAGGCACTGGGTGGATAACGGGCGACCTGCAGAGGCGTCTCTATAATGCACAAACAAATGTTGAGTCTGACGCAGTGTGGCCGTGCGTGCTACGTAACATGCCAACGCACGCACAGGGCAAAGGAGATGAAAAGATGCTTCTTCTTCTGATTTGTGGGGAGGAGGGAAAAATCCCTCCAACGTTATCATTCTCGATTTTAATGAGCTTGTGATGTTTTTAGGCATGAACGCTGGCTTAGGTCTCAGATCAGCTGAACTGCCATCAGCTTGAATCCTGAGACATGACCGAGGGAAAGTTCCGCTCAGTAAACCCCTCCACTCTGGTGATGGGAGCGAAGGTGGAGACAGGCACTCTCAGTTTACCAGGTCCGGCTGCAGCCTCATTCCAGTAGGATGTCACTGCTGGGAAACAAGGCCAGATGGGATCAGGGCGGCGAGCCGTGGTGGAGCCAAACCTTCCCGCTAGATCATCCGATCTGGGCGCAGGGAGGAGAGGGGCGGAAAGTCCCTTCGTGTCAGCCGCCTCCTGTATCATGCCGGGCAGCTCCGAGAGGAGGGCACCGACGGCTGGGGAGGGGGTGGGCGGGGGGGCGGGGGGGGGGGGGGGGGGGGGGGGGGGGGCACACTACGCTCTCCAGGAGGGAATGAGCAGCGGGGCTGCTGCTGACGTCACCTGTCCAGGAGGAACCATCCAATTCGCTCAGAGACTCGGCATCAAAAAAGGCGATGGCATCATCCAGCGAACAGTCCCTCACCACGGAGAGGCGCTCCTCGATGTCAGCCTTGAACATGGCTGCTCGCCTCTGCCTCTTCTCAGGAGGGAGGAGGTCACAGAGACGGCAGGAGGAGGCGAGGTCGGCATGGCGGGGACCCAGGCATCCTTTGTAGGTGTCATGCCGGTCAAAACTCAGCATGTAGCCGGTCTTGCTGGATGGGCACAGGCGGATGGTGTTGGTGTTGGACATCGTGTTCTAGGAAGATCAGTGCTGGTTGCTTGCTGAAGAAAAATGGGAGCCGATTACCCACTCTCAATGTAATTTATACTGACCGGGTGGGGCCCACACAACAGGTGGGCGTGGACTAAAGTTTTCAGTGCTACGCTTTGCGTGACAGGATAAAACCCACTAGCGAATGGCCTTAAAGGGCGAAGCCTATACGAAATGGAACTGGTCCACAGCTTAGTTTCAGTGCTGTCATTGGAATGTGACAAATATTTACTGTCATTACAGTTTATTTGAAGGGCATCAAGTGCACATCTGCATACCTGCATCTTCTCAGCAATGAGCCGGTCCAGCCAGCCGGTGTCGATGCTGTTCTGCTGAAAGCTTTCGGTCTCCAGTAGTTTGATGAGATATTCCACTGTGGTTCTGAAGTCCCCTCTTATAGACAGCTCTTTAAGTGCAACCACCATGTTGCTATTAAAAAAAAGAAACCAAAGACAAGAGTTGGTCATCTTTCATAGAAATTAGAGATACTGTCTGGGACAAAAAAAGTCAAACAATGTTTTGTTGGGGGCAGCACGGTGGAACAGTGGGTAGAGCTGCTGCCTCTCAGCGAGCAGGTCGCCCCAGTTCAAATCCCAACTGGGGAATTTTATGGGTGGAGTTTGCATGTTCTCTCAGTGCATATGTGAGTTTTCTCCGGGTACTCCTGTTTCCTCCCACAAACTAAAAACACGCATGTTAGGCTGATTGGTAACTCTAAATTGTGCCTAGGTGTGACAGAGATGTGGCCCTGTGATGGACTGGTGACCTGTCCAAGGTGTCCCCCGCCTCTTGCACATTGATGGCTGGATAATGGATAGTAATAATGGGTGAGAAAATATAATGGTTATGGATGGATGGATGTTTTGTTGGACCACCTTAAGCTTTGATTATGGCTCTAACTTTAGTTTTGGGTTTTAGGTTATCATCCTACACCAATTACACCAGTTTTGGCCTCCCTGCACTGGCTACCGGTTCACCTTCGAATCCAGTTCAAAATACTCCAGTGTGTCTATAAATCACTGAATAGTTCTGCCCCCTCCTATCTCACTGATCTGCTGCAGCCGTATGTCCCACCGCGTTCTCTGAGGTCAGCGGACCAGTTGCTTCTCACAGTTCCAGGAACCCGTCATAAGCGCAGAGGTGACAGGGCCTTCTCTGTTGCAGGCCCAAGACTATGGAATGAGTTACCTCTACCTGTCAGACAAGCCCCCTCCCTCACATGTTTTAAATCCCACTTAAAAACCCACTACAATTCCCTGGCTTTCAACACTGTATGATCTGTTGCTGAACCTGTATGCATCACACTGTGTTAGTCATTATGTTATTATCTGCTATTATTTTGTTTCTATATATTGATTTTACGTTATGTTATGTGTTGCTGTGTGCTCTGCCTGTTTGTTTCTGTTTGTACAGCACTTTGGTTGGCCCTGTCGCTGTTTAAAGTGCTTTATAAATAAAATGGTATGGTATCCTATTCAGTACTAAGACAGCTAGATAAACTGTACTTTAATAAGCTCAGCCTGGGAAATTATTATTATTATTATTATTATTATTATTATTATTGTTATTATTTTAAGTACATGTCCTAGTTTGGCTGTCACAATTTAAAAAAATGCTTGAATCCAGCTACAAACATCTTGACAGTTCATCTTTGGACAGAAGTTTGCAATATGTTTGCTAGTTTTTTGTATTTTTTTTTTTAAAAGAAAAAACTACATTGAATATACTACAAACAGGAAAAGACAAATTAGCAAGTTCCTTGGTTTAAATGCATGCATGTTCACAGGAACCAACTGAACAACTGGTTTAAGGAAAGAAAAGCTGCTGACTGTATCAGCAGGGAAAACCAACTTGTGAAAATATTTTAGTTATTTCAGTACATATTCAAGGGAAGCCTCTTATCTACTTGCTATAGATTAAGTTTTTTTATTTATTTTTTATCTGGGTGTAGGGGAAGTATATATCACGTAAACGTAAATGAAATGTGTATGATGCAATTTTGTTTTAAAATCCCATGTTCACTCACGAGATGGCTTCTTCTCGATTCTCTCCCCAGGAGAAGCAATGTCCAAATTGGGAATCAGCAAACTCGTGCAGCCCCCCTGCTGCTGCAACACTGAAGTAACCCCACACGTTCTTGTTGCTGCGGAAATTCAGCTCTTGCACTGTTCCAGAGCTTGGCTTGAAACCCTGCAATCACACAGACAATATTTTAAAAACTGGAAACTACAGCGTTACCTTCTGCAGTAAATACTTTCTGTGAAAAGTAAAGAGAATATCTTGTACCTCGTCTGGATTTTCACTGGTGATGCGTGCAGCAATGACGTGGCCTCGGGGACAGGGAGTATTTGACAGACTCTCAAAGTCAATGAGACAGTCTCCCCAGGGCTGGACTCCATAAAGCATCCTGATGTCTTTGATCCGATGAAGAGGAATACCCATGGCGATCTGAAAACAAGCATGTTAAAAATATGTATTAATATATTCAAGTTAGACAGCACAGTGGCTTAGTTGATAGAGCTGCCTCTTTTCAGCAAGAAGCTCGCCAGATCGAATCCCGGCCGGGGGCTTTTCCGGGTGGAGTTTGCACGTTCTCTCCGTGCATGCATGGGTTTTTTCTGGGTACAGTAGTCCCTCGATACTTCACGGTTCAACTTTTGCAAACTCACTCTTTAGTTAGTTTTCAATGTTATATTGTACACGACTCACAATTGGCTGATTGATGAAAGGCAACCAACCACAGCATTGTGCTGAGAGGCAGACTGGCCATCAGGAGCACCGGGACATTTCACGGTGGCCTGGCCTGCTCAGTGATCGCCAAGAGGGACTAAAGGCTCGGTTCGAGTTGCGCTTGATTATTTTAAATAAACAATCAGTGCCGCTTGTGCTGTGCACTTGGGTATAAGACAGACCCCCTGCCCCAACACAGCAGATATACACAACAGGTGGGCACGCAACCTGTTGTGCGTTTCTGCTCTGCTGTAACAGCCTCAGAAATAGAAAGGCGGGAGCGGGGGTGTTTGTCTTACATCCAAGTGAGCCGCACAAGCAGCGTGGATTGTTTATTTAAAAATAATCAAGCGTGACCCGAACCGAGCCTGGTCCAGAACATCGGTGATCACTGAACGGGCCAGGCCACTGGGAAATGTCCCGGTGCTCCCGATGGGCAGTCCGCTCCTGGGATTGGCTCAGTAACCGTTGCATCAGTCTGTCTGCTCTCTTTCGCTGTGCTCTTTTAGAGAGTTTAGAAAATTGTTAAGAACCCAAAAAAGTTCAATCTGGTCCTCTGGACATTCAAAAAAAAAAAAAACAAAGCAAAAAAAATGTAGATACATTTCGTCTCTCATCCGAAAGACTTCCTCAGTCTGAGGTGCTGTTTTCAGCTCAGTCTCTTAAATAGCACCTTCTCAGAGTGGATCAACCTGTTTGCTGCTGACAACCAAAACCAGCTGCTCACACAGTCAAGAAGGACCATCAGCCTAACAATGGATCATTAGCACACTGATGGTTGTTTACTATTAACAGGGGGTTGAGTGATACTAGCAATAACAGCATTGTAAGAGGGGGACAGTTGAACCCGGAGGCCTCCACCCCTGTTTAATGATGGACGATTTCTTTTCACAAAGATGGCCTCCTTTATTCCTCTCTCAAACCATCGTTCCTCTCTGTCCAGTTGATCCACTCTGAGAAGGTGCTATTTAAGAGACTGAGCTGAATACAGCTCCTCAGACTGAGGAAGTCTTTCAGATGAAAGACGAAACGTTTCTACATTTTTTTTGCTTTGTTTTGTTTTTTGTTTTTTTGAGTGTCCAGAGGACCAGATTGAACTTTTTTTTTTGGATTTTTCTACCTGGATTATTGAGCATGCATCAGGATATAAATGTATATGTACAGAAAAATAGTGTTTATTTTGAATGCTTGTATAAACTTTCAGAACAATGTATGTTTCAATTGACAAAACAAATGCAAAAATGTTTAGACTGTGAGACAATGAGTTTAGTTGCAGCTTAAATAAATTTGCCATCCACAGAGCCACTGAGTGTGTCACTCCCACGCCAACACCCAATCAGCTTGACACAGCTCTCTCAACCCTGCTGCTCTACTGTCTCTGACCTATTTACACACAATCCCAAACGCTGCAGAAACCCCCCATGTGACCTATTGCTGCTGAACCCCCTGAATTAATCACAATGTCTTCTGCAGCTGGTTGTCAAGGAGACAAGGGGCCCATTGAATCAGTGATGACAGTGAAGAATGCAAACTTTTTCAGCTACAGGATGAGTGTATGAATTGTAATACTGTAATATAATACTGTAATCTGCAAGTGTGTGGCTTTGGGGGCAGACTGACCTGCAGTTGAGCAGAAGGCAAGTTGACATCAGCCACCATTTCAGTGCAGGGGTGCTCCACCTGCAGGCGGGGGTTGAGTTCCAGGAAGTAGAAGCTGCCATCCTGGCTGTAGAGGTACTCCACGGTGCCTGCACTGACATACCCCACCATCTTAGCCAGCTTCACAGCACACTGAAAAGGAAAAAAAGGCTCCTAAAATCAAGGCTTGAACTGGATTAAACCTATCTATATTTTCCAAACTACACTGGTTTTACCTTTTCCATGTCCTCAAACACATCAGACGTAGCTATGGTAGCAGGAGCCTCCTCGATGATTTTCTGGTGACGTCGCTGCACAGAACAGTCTCTGCCAAACAGGGAAATAGCATTTCCATATTGATCAGCTAAAATCTGCACCTCCAGGTGGCGGGCGTGTTTGGCTAACTGCATGACAAAAATGGGCGATCCTGGAACTTCGGTCTGGACCTAAACCGCAACAGAAAAAGTGAAATTGTGTGGGCAGAAATCACAGAGGAAACATTGTCATGGAATTTAGGTATTTACATTTCTTCTTACCTGTCTGAAGAGATTAGGAAAGTCATCGGCACAGTTGACTTTGCGGATTCCTTTCCCTCCACCTCCTTCTGAGGCCTTCACCATCACAGGATAACCAATTTTCTCTGCCGCCTGGAAAAGAGAACAGAGGTTTCCAGGAAACAAGCAAGCATTAGCAGTTTATGTGCACATTTACATGGCAATATGATCTCTCGTTTAGAGTATGGGCTTACTTTGAGGCCATCTTCTACATCCTGGATGCAGCCGCACTCGTACAGCTCATGAGGAACGTTGATGATTTTCTTTTTTTGGTTATTCTCTGTCCATTCAACTGTCAAGCCTGATTTTGAGAAACCAAAGAGTTAGAAATGTTGATTGTTGAACAATAATTCCCAAAAAGATTAGAAGAACAGACTGTAAGACCTACCTGCTCCGCTCCATGGTAAAGTTGGAATACCAGCCGTCTGAGCTACAATTGATGAGGCAATTTTGTCTCCAAGAGCCCACATAGCCTGACTTGGGGGACCTATGAGGGCAGTTAAAAAATAAAACTTTAGGTTTACTAAACTTCTAAACATGAGCAGGGCAACAAAGTGACCAATTTCCTTTACCCATGAAAGCAATTCCATGCTTATGAAGGAGCTCTGGGAGTTTGGGATTCTCTGAAGCGTGACCCCACCCAGCCCACACTGCCTACAATAAATAAAAACATGATGTTCAACCATTAAGCTAATGATTAGAAACAGCTAAAACGTGTGAAAAAAAGACCATTTGGTAGTGGTTATACCTGAACAGGTATGCGCTTTGCAATGTCCAGAATGAGCTCGACGTTGGCATAGTTGTTGTTGTTAGTTCCTCCTGGCACAGGCACGTAATGATCTGCCATTTTGATGTATTCTGTCAAATAAAAATAAAAATAAAAATATAATATCCTCATAAAGAAAATAACTTTAAGCACAATAAAAACACAAGATCAAGAGAACAAATAGTTTCCTTCCCGGATGAGGTCTTGGATGACATATTCAGAGAAACCTTACCTGCATTAGCCTTCAGGTCTTCTGGGGTCACCATGACAACAAAGCGGATTGCTCTTTCATTACGGAACATCTCATAGGCCCAGCGACGAATGGAGCGCATGCATTTAACTGCAGCAATGCCATTGTTGGCAATAAGAACCTGAAGAAAGAGTAAGATAATAATGTTGATTTGGTCTATGTCACAATAATAAAGTTATGGAGTTTTTTTTGTTAGTTTTAATAGGTATTGTTCTTAATACTAAACCTTCATTCACAAATAATAATAATAATAATAATAAGAATACATTTTATTTGAAGGTGCCTTTCAAATCACTCAAGGTCAAAGAACAAGAAATACAAAAATTAAATAAAAAATAATGAAATAATAAAAGGTAGATATCAATAAAATCAAACAATTAATGGTAAAATACATAATGACATTAAACAAAATAAGCAAGTTTGAAACAAAGTGAGTTTTAAGAATAGATTTAAATGAGGACAGAGAATCAGAATTCCGGATGTGGTGTGGAAGAGATGCAGAGACGAGGGGCTTTATGGGAGAAGGCTTTGGATCCCATGGTTGTCATGTGGGCAGGAGGTATAATGAAAAAAATAGATAAGGAGGAGTGAAGACTTTGGGCAGGTGTGTAATAGCAAAGAAGATCAGTGAGGTACAGAGGTGCCAAGTTATGGAGAGCTTTGAAAGTGAGGGGAAGAATCTTGAAGTCGATGCAATATTTTATGGGTAACCAGTGAAGATGTTTAAGGATGGGGGTGATGTGTTTCTTCGAAGTAGTTCTGGTGATGATCTGAGCAGCTGTGTTTTGGACAAGCTGAAGTTTATGGATGATTTTAAGAGGAAGACCTGAGAGGACTGAGTTGCAGTAATCTAATTTGAGAGGTGACAAGAGCATTGAAAAGGATGGCTATACTGGTGGGAGTAAGAAATGAACAAAGACGGTTGATGTTTCGAAGATGAAAATATGCGGACCGAGTAATGTTATTGACATGAGATTCAAAAGATAAAGTGCTGTCAAGAATGACACCCAGACTCTTAGCTGTAGGGGAGGGAGAAACTGTGGAATCATCAACTTAATTGTGAAACTATTACATTTGGATAAGGTAGACTTAGTGCCAACAAGGAGAAATTATGTTTTCTTGGAGTTCAGTTTAAGAAAGTTTTGACTAAACCATAACTTAATTTCACAGATGCAGTCCGAAAGGAAGGCTGGCAGAAGGGTGGTGTTGGGCTTGGTGAAGTAGAGCTGGGTGTCATCTGCATAGCAGTGAAAATGAATACCACATTTTCTAAAAATGAGACCAAGTGGAAGAAGATAAATGACAAAAAGCAGAGGACCAAGAACAGAACCCTGAGGTACACCTGAAATAACTGGAGAGAACTGGACAGGATTATAGAACATATAAATAGAACATAATTCACTTTGTCAGAAAGCTTTTTAGCATCTTTTGAGTGAACTGGATGTAGTAAAATCTGACACCTTTTCAATGACTTTGTTTCCACCAAAACGAGTGACAAATTCAGCAGGTGATGCAACCGTGAAGTCCCGCTGGAGATCAATCCGCCTGCGCTCCCTGCCTTGTTTCACCAGGTGGAGCCCTGACATGCTCGGTCTGTTAAATAAATATACACAAAGAATCATAACACTTTATTAGACCTCCAGTTTTGGAAAATAGATAAGATGTAAGTTAGCATGCTGAACTGCCAAACCGACCCCAGCGATGGTTTTAGCTGTAGTGGATGCTGGGAAAAATGATTCACATTTACAGCCCTGAAGATAAAAACACACCGATATCGCTTCGTATTGATAAGAAACTCATTACTGCAGTAGCACAGGATTAAACTTCTGAATCTCTTAAATGTGTTTTTGTTGTTGATGAGGGTTACAGAAATGAACTAAACTTCTATAAAATAATACAAATAGCAAAACCTAAATACTGGGACAAAAGATATTCAAACTTTAACAACAAAACTGGTAAATATAAAAGAGAAACATGGTTTATTATTGTAAATGTATGGAAAAAAGATACAGTAAATAGCTCACCTCCATGTTAACATGTTTAGAAAAGCCGCTCAACAAGATTTGCAAAGTTCTATTAATCAAACAGCTGAAATCGGAGCTTAGGGGAAAACGGGTAGAATATAGAGGAGTGTAGGGATCAGCTGGTGGGTGTGACAGAGCCTGAGCTAGTTTGTCTGGTTGGCTTCTGTGGCCTGATACTGAATCGTTGCATCACTGATGAAAGGTGAATGAGTTTCAAGAAAGCAATTTAGGCACGTTTTAGTTTTAGCTGTAAATGTCCTGATTTTAATCAACACTTGGGCACTCCCATCCAGTTTTTCTAGTTTCAGAAATACCCTCCTGCACTGTTTCAGTTTAATTCCTTTTTTATAACCTGTTTGGACTAAAGGGACACACACTTGCAAATGTGTACAGTATTGAACAGTAAGATTCACTTTAAAATGTTTTAAATGTTAAACCTTACTTACTCAAAGTGAAATATAAGTCGTCTGGTTTTACAGGAGAATTTGCTTGAAATAACAAATGCAGACATTTATGTAAAACTTCTGAGGAGAACTTCCATCTGCATATGTCACAAAACTTAAGAGATTTTCATGATGCCCAGAGAAAACTCAAAGCACTCCGAGAAAGGTCCAAGACTGCAGAGTGAACATAATTTTTTTTTTTTTTAATCCATCAGGGTTGAACATATCCTTCCAACGGTTGGATGAAAAGATTTCTGTGTGGGATCATTCACAGCTTTCCTAAACCAAACAGACATTCTGAAGGGTTTCCCAGCTCTCCTGGACAACCAACCGCACAGACTGAGTACACAGTGAAACCCTTCATTGATGCCCAGAAATAGCATTTTCACATGTACTTTTTAAAATTTGAGCACATCTAGTGAAGGAAAAGTGCAAACTTTAATTTGGATTCTAACCTTAGATTGTGTATAGGCCCATCGATATGATCAAAACCCATGTCACTGGTGCTGTCAGAGCTACAAGAGGACGGTGACAGCGAGCGGATGTCCTTGTCCTCCGGCTGCGGGTCTGTTTTCCCTTGGATTTCATCCTCCGAGTTCTCCTCCGATATACACCCCACGAGGAAGTGAGACTGCAAGACTCCAGCAGCAGGTTTCTTCTGAGCAGCACTGTCCTGCTGTGCCATGGCTGGGTGACACGAGCAGGCTGCAAACACTGACAAGAAACAGCAGCGGCGGCAGCAGTTATAAAGGAGGACCAGAGTTCACTAATCAGATCACATATCTTTGTCTGGAACGAGATGCTGTTTGTCATATTGCAAAACTAGGTTGCATCAACTTTAGTTTTATCGATAATACAAGTGTCATTGCAAAACATGGGTCCAAACTGGACTCCGCAACACATTCTGAGCTAGCTTGACATGCAGATCCATTTAAATATGTATCAAATTATTCTGACATTCTTTCACCAGTAATTGTCCATCTAGAAAGTTGGACTTGATTTATAACCGAGTCTAGAAATAACATTAAACCATGAGCGACACTTATAGATACAATTTAAAAGTAACTTTAGTCTTCCTTTCTGTTCATTGATTTACACATTGTAGCACATGTATCTTAGTTCTATTGTACTATTAGTTTTAATTAAAACAGAATGTAATTCATTCTATTTGTTATTTTACTCAGCCTTAAGTGCTTTTATATTTATTTTTAGGGGAACGGTACCTTTAATTTTTCCCCAACTTACACTTAATTTTCTATTTCTGATCTCCTTTTTAGCATTGTAAATTATTATTTCTTTACATTTTAGAATTCAAAGTTTTATGATTAATATATTTGATCTACTATGCTATACCTCTTGTGTTTTCTAATAAACAAAACAGTGTTTTCAATGTTTTAAATCTTAGCCACATTTTAAATGGCCTTGTGTGTCCTTTTGTTTACTTCTTTGTTGCTTCTTTTATGGTTGACTTGAATCTGGTTTATGTGACTGTTGTATGCAAGGCTCTTTATAAATAAAGTTTTAAATGGCAGTTGTCCATAAAAGTATGTCACAATTTATTTAGAAGTGATAGCTAGGTGACTATAGACACTAAAATTTACTTTTACTGTAACTGCTAGTGAACACAACTTACAAAAAAACAAAGAAACAAACAAAAATCTTCAAATAGCATACATAGTTGCTGAAATTGTTCACCTGCCTGAGTGGAAAGCTAACCCTCTTAAGGCACACCTTATCTATCGATAACTGCTTGCAGGACCAGAAAAACAAGCTGTGTGCTGCCACCAGGCATCTCGCTAAAACATGACATATCGGCGATATGTAGCCTAACTGAATCTCCCAACGCAGAAATAATAATAATAAATTTTAGCTGACAGGCTGGTGTATTTTAAACGTTTTGCCGACTTGGCGTTACCTGTCAAAGCTAGTAGGTTCACAACTACAGCAACTAAAGCTGAGGCGAAGATGCTAGGCTAGCTTACCGGCTAATGTCATTAATAATGCTACAGTCTAAGTATTCATTAGCGCCGTTTGAACCGGACACTAAATCATTTACTGCACTGCAGCGCCGGCAAACTGTCCCGAAATGACAAAACCGGTAAAACACATTTTGGCTAAACTATATGTAACTTACCGGTGGAGATAAACCGACACGAAATCCTGAAAAAAGTTGACTCAGATAAATCAATGAATTAACAGTCTGTCGGTCATCTCTGGGTTCAGCAAAGATGAAATAAATAAATAAATAAAAAAATCACATCATGATGAGGTCACAGAGCTCCAGCAGACGCTGCAACGGCAGAGAGTGGGGTGATGTGATGATTCGTTAGCAGGTTACTCCGGGACGATGACCTCCGACAGCGACTTCCGGTATAGAAATACGACACATAGACAAGATTATACACCCATGCTCAGACTGTACCGGCTTTGTCCCAAATAATAATTAAAATAGAACGATATAAAATGTAATGTAGTATATCATTGTAACGTTAAATTTAGGTTTGATGATTTTAATATAAAACAAATATATCAAGTATTTTTTTTAAGGTTTCTTACTTTGTGAATCAATATAATTCCTCAGATGATCATTTGCATTGCAAATTAATGTTTGTGTTTTTATTTATATGTATTCATATTTAATCAGTTCCTTTTATGTTACACTTGAATGAATTAATTTATTAAAGTGTTTTGTAAAAAGCTTGTTCTATCAAAAAAGCACAACCTGCAATAAGCTTAATTAAGCAAGTGTCATCCTGCCCTACAGTTACTGTAAATATGTAACATCTGGTAATCTTGACTGCTTGTCAACAGTCGTTCACTAAGCTTACATGCACTATTTTTTCTGACTTCTGCTGATTGACTTAATTTTATGATTAAAAAGAAAATCTTCATAAGTCTGCAGCATTTGTCTTGTGTAGTGAAAAGTAATTTGGGTTTTGCAAATCAGGGTTAAATGATTTTAAAAAAGAGGTCAAATGAAAAATGTCTGTTTCACATATTAAGAAAATTATTTTTATAAATAGTTTTTTTTTTTCTCTACAAAAGTGTTTCATTTCGTAAAAGACAGATAATGTTATGCTGTGTCATGTGTTTTGGAAAATAAGGTTTTGTTTTCTTGGGCCTTTAGCAAAAAGCTATACAAAGTCATTTTTGACACATTATAAAAACACGTTTGACTTCATCTTATTCATTTAGATTAAAATGAATTAGAACTTAATTTTATCATATTGTTTCATAATTTAGCGTTTTTTCCCCTACCATTTTTAATGTGCTGTGAATTTATATCCAAAAGAATTCATTGTAAATTATTAAACATGCCTATCTGTTGCATCTAGATCTAGGAAGGCTTCATACGTGGAGGACCAATCAAAACGCAGAGACCGTTTGTAGGTGGAGCCTAAATGATGTGTTTAAAGCGTGCATGACAGGCGCACGTGTATGAAATACCCGTGGTTGTATTTACATGTTTAGGGCTTCTTTGCCCCTCCTTGCTGAACTGAAAGGAGTCCCTGTGTTAAACGCACACATGTTTGTTTATATTTTACATTAAACTTTATTAGTATTTATTTATTTTTTCTACAAGGTTTTAAACTGAACGTGCAACTGAATCAATTAAATTCATTTCAACCTTCATTTAGACCGATAAATCACATTGAGCATCGAAGATTCATTTACAAGTGAGATCTGTTTTAGACAGACAAAAAAGTAGTGAAACTGGCACATAATAAATAAATAAATAAATAACAAAGGAAAAACACGCTTGACTGATAAGTGATTTTAATGTTGCGAATGGATATCCAATAAAATTCTTGTAAATGTTGCTGGTAATTTTTTAATGATGTTACTTTTCGTGGGAAACAACAGATCTAGCATTTGGCTGATGTGCATCCAGATATTGTTCAAAATAAAAAAAGTTAAAGAAAAAAGAAATGTAAAAAAAAAATACATCAGGTCTAAAATTAAATTTTCATCATTGTCACTTTGTCATGTTGACTTATTTGAAGTCAGGCCTTGACCCAGATAATAGTATTTGTGACTCAGACCTGGCCTTTAATTGTGATTAGGTGTTTAACTTGTGCCACATTATCAACATCTCAATTATTTACCTCAGCTAATCCAAATGGCGGTATAAGATAATATAGAGGGCATATATAAAAATCAATACATATTATTCACTCTTATGTTTATGTTAGAAATGCATTACAATCTTTGAATAGCTGGGGGCTCATTCACTCAACTGCATATGCTCTGTACAATGTGCACATCACACAAAGTCCTGACCCTATTTGGTTGTCCATGTTGATAATTGTATGCAAAAATATCATAAACACTTAGTGCAAAATAAATGCTGCCATGACGTCTGCATTGTATATGTCATTCAGTCGCAAGACAGACAGACAGACAGACAGACAGACAGACAGACAGACAGACAGA